ATATGTAGATTACAGTATCGAATGTTAATTACGCATAATTATAAATTATAATAAATGGCAAAAGAGTGTCTATAAAATACAGGGTGTGGTCCTAACAGAAATTAATTAATTTAAAAAGGGTGCCTATAATTAACGGGGTGTGAAAAAGAGGTGACTATAAAAAACGGGGGTGTTTGTGGTAGCTATAGTATCACCGTAGTCTAGCTGAACCTGCCTGCTCTGTATTACACTACCTCCGCTCTTCTCTACTTCTCTGTCTGTCCCTCCGTTCAGCTAGACTACGGTATCACCCTAATAAATATCAAGGTGACTAGATAGCCATCTAGTACACCTCCGTTTTTTATAGCCACGCCTTTTCCGCACCCCGTTAATTATAAGCACTTTTTTATACTTGCTTCATTTGTTTTAAAACACCCAGCTTATTCTAGGCATCCTTTTAGCAGATAATCATATTTGTTGGCAACGCGATGATACGAGTAACATATATGTTACTCGTATCATCGCGTTGCCAACAAATATAGTGTCATGTTATTATCGCGTCGCCCAAAAATATAATTACAGTGCGTATAAATGGAGTTGTAATATCTTTACTCTTGTGCGAATTGGATAGGGTAACAGTGATCGCTTAGGTGCAGAATGAACTTTCTTGTTTGTGTAAAACAAGAACCAGTGCCCAACGATCATTTCTGATGTGCGTTGACTAAGGTCCTAAGCATTATTAGCGGCAAAGATGGTTGCCACAACCACCCGCTCATGAACCCTAAGGAAAGGTGGAGAAAGCTCTCATTTTCAGCGATACCAAGCGAACCGAAGAAGAAAATTATACAGTGCTGAACGAAATTCGCACTGAAGACTCAAATGCTGATTGTCAGTTGGCATCATGGCTGGCCGTGCTAAAAAGGTCACTAAAATTGCTAAAATTACCTCAAAAGATATCTTCTGAGAAATCGTATCACAGAAAAACTGTTTTGATAAACATAAAAATCAACAGCAGGGTGTGCTCATTTACATGATATTAAAAACTGCTGTGGGAGGCAATACTGAGGGAGGCTCTGTAGTCATTTTTTGGATCAGACACTGGGATACACGGTATTGTACACGCTACTAAATTGGTGTGTTCTTTGGACACGTCTTGTGAAAACTTTCGCTTTCGCACACTCCAAACACTTGCTTACATTGCTTTATGACATTCTATTGCAAGACGATTTGTATACGTGGGGGGCAGAAACCGTTTATGCGCGCAACATCCGGGTGGCCCGTTTTACTGTATATGGAAAGAAATTCCATAAGGCTAGAGTAGCCAATGCAGTCGTAGACAAAGCCCACAGGCCACTAATAAAAAACGCCGGTGATATCGAGAAACCCTTCCAGTCAGCTTTTGTTTCTTCGTTGTTAAAGTTGACCCTGCCGTGCGATTTTTGGATTTCCAAAGTCAATAATATTAACACAGATAATAATATTAACATTAATTAGTGGTTTCAAACGTAGAGCCCTAAAAAAATAATTTGGCCACGCAGAACTGCAATATCCGCTGCATGTACCCGATCTTCGTCCCATGAACCTGGCGCCTTCCTTTACATCGAAACAGTTATTTATGATACGTAAACATCAGCCGGATGCTTCTAACCTAACCACAGTTCTACTGAGCAGTTTCTTCTCATCGGTTATTGGTGAGAATTATTCAGAAGTGATGTGCTAACAACAAGGACTTTGTCAACCAGCATTTTTCCGGCAGTCATTCGGTGGTTCGAACGACAGGTCTCAGATGAAATGGTCGAAGATCCAACTTCCATTGCGACAGCATGGTCAAGTTCAGTACCCACTGCGTCAACGTTGACAACGACTTTATGTCTAATCGTCGCAGTTCTTCTCCGCTCCAGCCACGCTTCCCACGGTAGCGGTTTGTCGGACGGGGATCATTGCTCTGATAGGTCTCCAGTATCTAGAGATATCAATAAAGAACATACATCTTCATCTAGATTCTAAGGGCATTTAGAATTAACCTCGCACTTGTCTATGGTCTATCTACAGGGAGTTTTTCTTATGTGCCGCGGAGGCTATGCCACTGGTTCGCCTCCGTCTGGTATAGATTGGTCTGATTTTCACAAAAGTTGTTTTATACACATTGTTTTTTACTATTAAGACAACAAAGAGATAGAATAAATTCTGATGTACCAGAAGGAATCTGAATGACGTACTTTGCAGAAATTTTAGCTGCATCAGCCATCTCACAGTGCCACACCTGAAGACTGCCATTGGTTCACCAACCGGAAGCGGTTGAAATACGTAGTTTTAAAATGTCGTAGTTAAATTCGGAGTTTTAAAATGTTTAAGTGTTTTAAAAAGTTTATTTGCTCATTAAATATTTGACGAAGTTAAAATAAAATAAATTTTCTGAGGATTTCAAGGCAGGGAGTGCGGAATCCAGTGCCAGCGTGCGGTTGCAAGAATTTTCGAACGATTCGATGAGCCTTGTAGGCTCATGGACGAGGGCGAATGTCCTACCCGTTTGATGGTGGCACAGTTGTCTGACTCGATCCACCGCGCAACAATTAGTGTTTCATTCAGCCGCAACTGCTCCGCAATCCACCTGTGAGCGCAGGCGTACTCAGCGTACACCCTCGCTTGGCTGTTTGTTGTGTTTTGGTTGTGCGCCCGCCTACGCGAGGCAGCACCGTAGTGTTCTCTGCGCCACCGCATGGTGTGGCAGCTACGTGCGCTTGCCGTAGTCGGCAATGCAGAGTTGCACATGTTGAATTTCTATCGAAATTAGTCTTGTCAATAAATCTCTAGCAGTCAGGCCGTTTTTCGCTTTTCCATAGCGTGTGTGCTGTAGCACTGCCAGATTTGTTTGGTAGACGGAGTTACGTCAACTCCGATTCTACGACGTGAACCTTCTACGGTTCCCGTCTTATATGGTAGCAGACGACGTGTTCTCCAGGATAATCTGAAGTTTTTCCCCCGTCCAATTGACGGAGTGTTTGGAGTGTGCGAGGAAGGGCTCGCTGACGAAGCAGTCGGAGAAGGACGCTTGGATCTCGACAGCAGATCAGCATCAGTGTGTCTCTACTGTGTAGAGCACGCTGTACTGTTCTGAGGCGGCCAGGGTTAAGGTAGTAGCTTTGGCTGGAGGGGCACAAGCGCCGAGAAAGATAGCCAGAAGAGGCAGAAGCCCGAAGGGGGGCACGAGTGGGCAAGCCACTTTTGGTCTGACGGGTGTGGAGTTCAGGTGCGTCTCTACTGTGTAGAGCGCACACATCATACGCGCTCCCCCAAAAAGGTGGTCGAGCGCCCCTGTCGTTGCCAACGTCAAGGCGCGACAGAAGACCCGCAGCCAGCAAGTCAGTTGGTCGACGCACCGCTGCGTCCTGTCGATACGAGACAGAAGGGGTTAACGGCTGGCCCAGGAGAAGTCAGCTTAATCGTTGGAGGATTTGGAGGATTCGCGGAAGGACGCGCGGGATCGATTTCTGGATCACGGAGACGATCAGGTCAGAATTTCGTTTATTAATTTCGCCATTGGCGCAGACGTAAAATTCTCAATTTTCATTGGTCGGTGATGAGCTGAGCGAGAAAGTAGGCGGTACATTTGCGCACGGCGCGCTAGCAAAAATTTTCACATTTCCTTGTGACGTCACTCTGCCTTAGAATTTAAAAACAACGTTTCTGATTGGTCGGTTATTAACGCTGTGATTGGCGCAGCAGTAAAGCTGAAGCAAGCTTGAGATTCAGCCAATTAGAAGCTGAGATTTTGAGACGAGGCGGAGAATTTGCGCACGGCGCACAAGAACGTGACGTAGCCAGCCGAATAATTTTTCTGAGTCGACCGATGAGATTGTGACCTTTACCAAAATTTGACAAGAATGATGACCTTTAACGAAGATGGAAAGTTGATGATTTGACGCAAGTTTTAAGTTGAGTTTCGTTAATTCCGACATAAAATCCAAAAATATCTCGAAGTTCGCAGTTTTGACAAAAAGTTTTGGTGACCTCTACCAGACCAAGTTCCTAAAATCAAAAAGTGACCTTTACTTATTCGGAGTAAGCGTTAAGCTGAAACAGCTGATGACCTTTACGAGTTATGTCTTGCTGAAGGAAGTGACCTTTACGAGAACTTCGTCAAATTTCCGAAGTAAAAAGTGACCTTTAGAAAGGACTTAAATCTTTTAAAGGCAGAGTGACCTTTAGCAACTGAGCTCGTATAATAAGAAGTGACCTTTAGGACAGCGCTTGATTCTGTTCACGTGTAAAACTCACATAAACATAATCTAACACACGTGTGAGAAACCTTGACAGCATCGTCCAAAGTTATCCGATCACCTGAAACAAGCAAAGATATGGATCAAGAAAGAGACGGTAATGAACCGATCTCCTCCGGTAGTTCCCAAGGAAAACGGTCCAGGGACACAGAAAACCCTTATAAGGTGAAACTACAGCCGTTTACACGGCCAGTAGAACATGATCGTGCAACTCGAGCTCAGAAAGCCTTTGGAAGGAAGGACTCCAAAGGTTCAGAAGCCACATATCAAAAGGCTTTGAAAGAGACGCAAAACGAAAGTTCGAGTGACGGAAGTGGAAACTCCGGACGTCAAGTCGGAGATAGCACGGTAGACCAGTCAAAGGTCACCGACGAGAGAATGGCAGTCGATGGACAAAATTAAGTAGACCTTACGGTCGAGACCGGAGGAATGTCACGGTCGGCTGAAAAGGTCAAGGAGGAAACCGCGGATCAGTTAAAGAAGGGAGAAGACGAAGTCAGTCAAAAGGTCACCGGTGGGGGTGAAAAGGTCATCGGCAGCAATGAGCTGCTAGACCAAAGAAAGGTCAACGCTGATGACCTTTCAAACGATCCAATGGAGTCGAAGGAATAGCTGGATGAAAATGGCACCAGCTTCGCATCAGGTGATGAGAAATATTACACCGATGATGAGGACGATACAATAAGGATGACCTTCCATACCGCGATGAAAGAAGCTGACTTAGCGGATGGAATGATAAAGATGACCTTTAACGAAAAGTTGGAAGAGACCTTCGAGGAACGGCGTCAGGAAAGGCTGACAACGAAAGGTCACCAACTCCCAAAACTCCCGCATCAAGTGGAGCAAAGCAGCGAATCAGAGAGCTGGAACAGCTACTCGACGAGAAGGAAGGGCAAGCATTCGCTGCAGTACGTGAACAGAGAAATAAAACCTTCGAAGCGGAAGCAGAAATTTATACAATGGAACAAAAAAAGGTCACGCTTGAAGATGAAGCGCGACAATGGAAGGTCAGATACGAAGCGCAAAAACAAATCGCAGAAGAATTGAAGAAACTAGTCGATGATAAGGACATGGAAGGCATACTCGCAGTGGATGACCTTAACAGAAGCATGTCCGAGGAAACCGAAGAAAGGTCACGGGAGATAGCAGAATTGAAAGCAGAACGTGACCTTTTGAAGAATAAGGTCAGGGAAGCGGAAACTCAGCGCGACGAGTCCTTAGCAAATGCAACGAAGTTCACAGGAAAGGTCACGAGCCTCACGGCAGAAATCTCAAAGTTGAAGGATGACCTTAAGCTGCGAGATGAAAACATAACATCGCTGCAGGCGCAAATACAAGAAAGGAAAAAAGAAACAGCACGAAGCAGAAAGCCAGAGAGATCAAGCAGCATTGAAGCTCCTCGAACTGGCAGAAACGACGAAAAGCGAAAGTAAACGGCTAAATTATGAAGTCGAAGGTCACAAGAAGGAAGCTCATAAATGGATGACTGAAGCTAAACGAATCGATGTACGCATCACGGTGCTAGAGATCTCCAACAAGGAAGGGCAAACGGAGATCGAAAAACAGAAACAAGAAATTGTGAAGTTAAGTAACGAACTTCTGGGAATGGCCACCGCAGTGATGGAAAAGGATGATAAGATCGCTGAGAAAGAAGCGGAACTGAAGACAGTTATGGAAGAATGCGATGCGAGAGGAAAGACCCTCGTACGCAGAGCCGATCAAATTACCCGTTTAGAATCGGAAGCAGAAATCATGAAAGCAGCAAAGAAAGACTTGGACAAAACCCTTGACCAGAGGGCAATCGCGATCATGGAACAGATGAAAAAGGTCAACGAAGCAAATGCCGAATACGAGAAGTTACGAATGGACGCAAACAATACAGTGAACCAATTACAAGAGATAATCAAACGGAAAGATGAAGAGATCAAAAACTTAAAAGGTCCAGCAAAAAAGAAAGAAGCAGAGGCGACCCAACGTCAGGACAAACAACCTGAACGGAATGAATCTCCGCCACCTGGCTACGGTGAAGTCCACACCGTCGAAGGCAGCTTCCACTTCGAAGCACCTAAAAAGACCGGAATGGGCCGAACTGACGACAAAGAGGAAACAAAGGTCAAGGGTGAAAAGGTCACGGAAGATACCGAGTTGGCGAAGGGGCACTCGGGACCGAAAGGCGGGAATAGCTCAAGACAACAAGACACCAGGCACGACGATGCCCCAAATGAATCCGACCCCAGACGAGATGAACGAGAAGACCCTCGCGCTAGGCGACAAGAACGCGACGGCGCCGATTATTACGAAGATGCACGGGAAAGGGATGAACGTGCACAAATCCGGGCCGAACAAGAACGGTTACGACGAGAACAGCTCGAATTCAGGGAATAGTAAAGCAGATGGGAAGAAAGTCAAACTTGGTTGATTACAACGGCAACCGGGACAGTCTTCTCGGTTGGATTCGCCAAGTAAAGGAAACGAAAAGGGCATTCCGGATGAGTGACGAAGAGATCATACTAGAAGTCGCCAATGTAGTCAAGGGGGATGCAAAAGTTTGGTTCGATGGCGAACGAGAAATCCTCGGTGAAGAAAACGACGAGATGACGGTCGACGAATGGATGACCAAATTCAAAGAAGAGTTCGGCGATCCTGACGAAGGGGTCCTCGCCTTACGCGAAGCCATGGCTAGAAAGTTCAAAGTTGGTGAAGAGTCACTGGATCAGTTCTATCAAGCGATGATGCGCTTCAAATCAAAGAAAACTATCACGGAAAAGCAGGCGATAGCTTTCTTGATTGACGAATGCAAGAGCGATAGTGACCTTTACAAAGCAATGAGAGCTCGAACATTCGAGACTCCAGCGGACATCAAAGAATTCTTCCACACTTGGTCGGCGGGAGAAGACAAATATAAGGTGACGAGAGGGAATCTAAACCGAGACGACTATGTCGTTATCCGGTCGGGACAGGTGGCTGAAGTCGCGAATGGGCGACAGAACCTGTCACCTCAAGCACCAAGATATAACACGGAATTCCCTGCTTTAGGCACTCAAGAGGTGACCTTTAGCAAAGGACAGAATGAACAGGACGGAATGTCGTACGCAACAATTGCGGCGATACAAGCGGCAGTTCAAGAAGCAAACAGGCCAGCAGTTGCGGCAGTTCAAGCAGCAGTCCAACAAGTTGCTCAACAGAAAGCTGGACCAGTGCAGAACTTACAAGGAAATGCCCTGAATGGAGGGTTCGCGGGTCAAGGAATGGCACAAGCAAATCCTTGCCTCGCTGGCCAAGGATTCAATGGTGGCGGAAGAGGAAATCGCGGACAGCAAGGGAACCAGGTTACCCGATACGAGTAGTAAAAGGCGTCCCGCAAAGGGATTTTGATCTCTACTTCCCTACTGGACTTCCTGACTGCAGTTTGTGACGTCACAATAAGTAATCAAATTCCACAAAAAGTTGAAACTAAAACTATACTTTGTATTAATAATTTACAAAATATTACCATAGTTACTGATTAAATCGTTAGTTGTTGACTGTATTTAAATATTTGCTCTTAGTTTTCTATAGTGTATAAGGAATCCCTTGACCATTTACTGTACTGTATTATTATTTGATTTATGTGCGGGGATAGTATAAAGTAGATGAAAGCATTAAAAACTAAAGCGGATAAGACGCATAAAAATATTACGTTATTCAGAATTTTTATATAGTTTTAAGCACAACAGCGAAATGAAAACCGGTAAGTAATAGCTTGTTATTCATCGTCCGAGGTGCTCATCTCCGATTCGCTTTCTCCTATGTCATCCACGCGCGGGTCATCACGGACTTCCGGATGGTCACCTGACAAAATGAAATAAAACCATAATATTATAGGAAAATGAATACACATAGACAAGCTGATCATACCATACAGCGCGTTCTTAGCCAGGTTTATGGCAACATCCAGTTTGTTCAAAGCAGCGCTGACATCACGTCCGTTCTCAGACTGGGTCAGGTATCGGTCAGCAATGAGAGTGCTAACAGTGGACATTTCTTGGACAATGGGAAGAAACGCTTCCTGGGCTGCAAGAAACTGTGAAATAAAACTTAATACAAGTCAGAGAAACTACACTTACCAATGGTCATCTTCTCAATGTTTAGCTTTGATTTGAGATGTTCAAAGCCATTTATCAGGGAGAGGCAGTGTTCCTTAATTTTGTCGTTATACATTGATACAGAGTTTGACAGCTCAGTCAGTTGTTTCCACAAGGATTTGTACGCCTTGGTTCTGGCCTTGAGCTCACTCTCCGACAGCTGATTGGTAGGCACAAGTTCACTGGTCGTTCCAATGTGAGTTCGCGAATTTTTCTCCAGCAATTTCGTTTCGTCTTGTTTCTTTTTGTTGTCAGCGATGATGCGCGTGATTTTTGTGAGTAGTGCGATGGGTAGTTTGATATTTCATCGATCCAGTAGCCCTCATCAGACGATGGCATACTGTCTGGCGGACAGGCAGCCAAAAGAGTTGCAATGCTTTCCATGTGATACTTTTCCATTGCTTGTGCAACGTCCAACAGCTTCTTCAGTATCACAATAATAGCAGTGAACATTGCTTTCTGATGGTGGTGAATGTACGCAAGGTCAAGAGCGCTCTTCTGGAACTTGCGCACCAGTTTACCCTGTAAATAAATGCAACTGATAATTAGGTTACTGCATAAAAACATTTCTTACCGTCTTGGTGCGCCATTCGTCGGACTGGATGTTTAAGTACTTGGTGGTGTCCACAGCCAGCCGGTTTCTATATTTGATGTCGTAGACATTGCTATGGCTGGCAAAATCCTTAAAATATTGTGGCAGTTTCGTTGCGGGTTTTTTGGAATCCCTAAAAGGCAGTAAACGTCAATACATACTGCCATTTCTTTTCAACTTTACTTAGGACTTAAAACTGACAACTACAACAGTGGGTGAAACTTACAGAATTATTATGATTAAATAACGAATACATAATCGCTGCGCTTGCCAATTGCTTACGTTAGTGTACATGTTCATTTAAACAGAATTACCCATAATTGTGCAACACTTCGTTTTGTTTTTTTTTATTTTAAGGGTATCATTTGGAGCATTTATCGTTTACGTGCGTTTGTTGTTTACCACGTAAACGACAACTGCTCCAAAAAATTTAACCCTTGTTTTTTGGTTAATTAGCGGGTTGATTTGAAGCAGAGAGTAGTTTAAAGTTAAATTTAGCAGTCCAAGTTTCGTTTAATTTAAAGAGTATTTTTGGGAACATCTATCCTTTGCACGCATTTGTTGTCAGCGCGCAAACGACAGCTGCTCCATAAAATACAGTCCTTTTTTACCGGGTAATTAGTGTATCTGGAATCGGCAAATAGAAAAGTAATCACAAGTAAAAATTAACCGTCACAGCATTATCTATTCCGTTGCCTAGAAAACAAACGTCTTTCTACGACAAACGGAGAAGAAACAGCAGTGAAGGTAATCACATAGCAAAAGTCACACTGACATTAATGACTTGACTTGGTTAATTTCACAAGTGTTTATATAAGCGCTCTCACACGCAAAATAGTTTACCGAGAAAGATAATGCTGTGAAACAAATTGCTGTGCAGCAAAATGCGTGCACAGTATTTTGTTGATATAAACAGTTGTAATAAAATGCGTTCACGCAGTTCAACAAAATACGTGCAAACATTGTAACCAAGCTCCTGGATTTATTGTAATGCTCAATCATGAACAGCCGGACGCTTCCAACGACTCCGGTAAGTGAAAACAAATTTGAATTAAGTAATACTACAAGTCAACCGCACCTTTAATTATAGGATACGATACGGATTCGGACAGTTCCTTCAGCTCCTATGAAACAGAAGAAGAAATTGGTAACTTTGTAAAAATCCTGGAAAAAAAACAATATTGCATATATGTATAATTTTCAGACGATTGCGATTGTACCGAGGAGCAACGCGGTGTCAATGGAGAGTGTCGAATCACCAGCTGAGGAAAATGGAAAAGAAATCCAAAAGGAACTCGATCAAAATCTATTTGAGAAGTTGACAAAGTTCCTGATAAACTTCCTCGATGTGTTCGAATTTTTTTAAACCAAGTATATTACATTTTCCACTATTAAAGACTACGCATGTGGCTTTTTTCATCTTTATTGTCATGCCGGGAAAAATCTCTGGCTCGTAATATTTGTCACCAGTCGAATGGCCAATATTTTCAAGATTTTGTCGTCGCAGCTGACATGAAGCAATAATATTAACAACCTTATAATTTGTTATTCGCGCTCCTTTGTAACCCGTAGCAATAAGCTTTCGCAAAAAGTATTCTGCACACTTTCGTGACTCGCGTAGTGTGCGTCCACCATTAACCGTAATTTTTCCGTTGCGATATAATTGGCAGTGGAATTTTTCGGATATATTACGCACCACAAAAGACAAGAGAATTTTTTAGGATCGTATTCTGTGATAAGGTCTCTGTTCAAATTAAGCTGGTGCAAGTCGATTTCCACATTCAAGTGCGCAGTTGCGACGATATTAGTTATTTGCGCCATGTATCCAGAAGTTGGTTATGATCTCAGGTTCCAATGGCCTTTCGGAGCAATAATATGTGGACCAACAATGAGTGGTAAAACACAATATGTTCTTAAAATGCTGAAAGAAAATGCAATGGACGTCGTCCCAACCAGAATAGTGGTAGCATACAGTCAATGGCAAAACTCGTACGAAGAAATTAAAAAGATTTTTCCACCGACAGAATTCGTTAAAGGGTTAAAGGACGATTTACTAGATTCGGAGTTTTTTTCTAGAGCAGAAACTAATTTGCTGATTATAGATGATCTAGCGGGCGAAATGGCAAGCAGTGAGTTAGCCACAAAGCTATTTACGCAAGGAATACATCACAGAAATTTGTCAGCAATTTATATCACACAGAATTTATTCAAGCAAGGTAAAGCAAGTCGGGATATTGCCTTAAATACTCAATATATTGTGTTGTTTAAAAATGTTCGCGACAACAACCAACTGGATTATTTATCACGGCAAACAGGATTTAAGCATCTAAAAAAAGCGTATAAAAAGATTACTGCTACTCCGTTTGAACCTTTGATTTTGGATTTAAAACCAAATTGTCCCGATTATTTGCGTGTCAGATCTCATGTTGTGCAAGAAAACAAAACGGACTTGCAAACAGCAAGAATTTACACCGACCCGAATTTTTGTGCAGTGCCGTCAGCATGACGAAACATTTGAAAGAATTTGCTTCTTTTTTACTGTTTCTCTCGTCGCTCAACCCCAAAGATCGCAGAGCTGTCGCGAATCATTGTAACAAAAAGCATATTAAAGGACTGGAAGAGTGCTGCTTGAATATCGTAAAAAATACCGTAAATTTATCACCAGAAAGTACGCGAATTTGCAGACGCTGGAAAAAGCCGATACGATTATTAGCTCTTCGACGGTATCCCACAAAAGCTAAAAAAGCGCTATTAACACAAAAAGGTGGTTTTCTGGGTGCAGTGCTGCCAGTTTTAGCAAGCGTTCTGGCCGGAGCGCTAAATTCCTAATTTAAGGTCATGGAGGTACATTATATTGTGCCTGAGCGGGATATCAAGAAGCGAGCCGCCGAGCTGACAGTTTTACAGGCTCCACCTGAAGCGAACAACATTTTATCGCTTGGCGATTTGACATCAAAAATCCTTTCAAGTCAAAATTTAAGTGAATGGCAGAAAGCACAATTACTTAGTAAAAATTTAGAACGGTTCATGGCATTAAAGCCCAGAGCACTTCAAGAAGGTAATCCCTTGGATAGTCTGTCTGTAAGTGTAAACGACGCCACAACTCCGACTCCATCAATCTTAACCACACCGTTAACTGAACCCAAGAAAGCGAAAAAGAAAAGAGTTCGCGCCACAACAGCATCGTCAAAATCACGCAGAAAAATCAAGAAAAAAACCCTGACTGATATTGATTCGGATGATTCGGATGAATATGATCTCCCAGTGTTTTCATTACCGTCAAATGAAAAAGGGAGACGTGGTAAACGCGTACTGGAACAAACGCTAAACGAAACAAAAGTATCACCCGATACCAAATTCCAAGCTGTAAGCGCAGAAGAAGTGCCGCGCCGGCGTGGCGAGCGGGTACGAGAGCAGACAAAGTTTTTTATAAAAGGGCAAGGTATTAAAGGCCGCTGGCTAAAGGTTCTTTAAAATGTCGGGTTGTGTGCCGGTAAATCTAAATTTTGGACAAGGGATGAAATTGAATTGTGTTTCTTCTTGCTGTTCTAATGACAGTGACGAAAATAAAATAGAAGATTCGTCTAAAGCTGGTGATAAAGCCAACGAGGTACCTAAAATTACTCAGCCTGTTTCCGATGGACCAGCACTATCTCAATCCTAGTGCACTGAGCAGCCTAGGGGGGCTCGAGCGGTTTCGCAAAAACCTTCCAGAAAATGTTTCCAAGGAAAAAGCCAAAAATATTCTTGAAGGGATCGATGCCTACACTTTACATAAGCCTGTCAACAGAAAATTCCGCAGGAATCCGGTGGTCGTCCTAAATAAAAATAGCCAGCTCCAGGTAGATTTGATGGATATGCAAAAGTTCAAAAAGTGGAACAAAAATTATGGCTACGTGTTAGTTGCTATTGATTGTTTTTCTAAAAAAATAGAATGCGAGCTAATTAAGTGTAAAGATGGTTTATCAACGGCAAAAGCATTGGAAAAAATACTAGAACGCCTGGGTCCATTCGACAAAATACAGGCTGATAAAGGCCGTGAATTTTTCAATAAAAATGTGAGGATTTACTCAAACGGAAAGAAATTATGCTATTCAGTTCGGAAAACGATGACATAAAATGTTCGATGGCGGAGCGCGTTATTCGAACGCTGCGTGAGCGCATATGGCGCTTATTTACTAGTCGAAAATCTCCAAAATATTACGATCAGCTACAAAATATTGTAAAGACATATAATCACACTCCTCACACTTCACATGGCTTTTGTCCTGCGGATGTAACCGAAGAAAATTCCTGCTTGTGTTTAATCGATTATACGAGAAAACAGACCATAAAAAAAAAGAAACCAGTATTTAAGGTGAAAGATGCCGTCAGAATTGCAAAGAAAAGCAGGACTTTGAAAAGGGTTTTGAAACAAACTTTCAGGAGGAGCTTTTCGAATAGCAAAGGTAATACCACATACACCGGAGCCAGTGTATCAAATCGAGGATGAAAAAGAGGAACCAATAGTAGGAAAATTTTATGCAAGGGAGCTAACGCGGATTAGAAAATGAATAACTTGCAATATCAACAGCCATTTTACATCACATTGCCGAGTGATGCTTGCACAGATATTTACTCGAATAACACTGCATCCAGTTGGAAAACCAAATTATGCAAAACAATTTCACTGTCTGGAAAATGGGAAGTTGCAATTGTCGAACTCTATTACCCAAATTCCATGTACAATCTCCTACAGACCAGACCATGGATTGTTTGCAGGTTTACGATATTGTATCAAATTCAGATGCTAAAACAGGGTTGGAAAAGTTTCTATTTGAGAAAAAGCGCATTACTTTACACGCCGGTAATTATACCAACGAACAAATCATTGCAACAATTGCTTCGCAAATTCCGAAGCTCCTCTTGGCAAAAGGACAAGAATCCAAAAGAGGAGAGCCTTTTCTATTGAATTACTAGCTAATAATCAAAAAGTACAAATTGCAATTAATGCCAATACCGTTATTCTGGCTATTAACAATGAACTGCTGAAACGCATATTGGGGTGTCAGCATCGACAACTGTTTGCGTATTCTGATCCTGCAAATATTGTTGACCTTGCGCAAAATTTTGACGGTTTAAATCAGCTGGAGG